GAGGTCTTCTTTGTCTCAAAGACTAATGCTGTTAGCACATGCTGTACATACAATGTGTCACATTTTTAAGTGTCCCCTGCTCTGAAAGACTAAGTCTGAGAGTTTCCCCAGACTTTAAACTTTTCAAAAAAATAAAGATCTTAATTGTGTGACCATAGCCATTTTGAAGCCTTTAGCTAAGCGTAGTATTTCTTTTGAGTTGGACAAAGGATTCTCTTCTTCATCATGCAACCTAGTTTGGTTCTAATCCTTGCCTGGGGTTCCTAAACATTCCTTTAATACAAATAGAGAAATCATAGCAAGGAAGGCCATAGGTAGAATAAATCACTGATTAATAATGTCAGCTTGCCTTCATGGGACTCCTAATATAAATGAATTGCAAATCATGGCAAAACAAATCTTAAACCAGGTCAGAATGTTTCCAGAAAAAGGAAAGTAGGTGCAGTGCTAGCAAAGTAGGTGCAATGTTAAAGGAAAATTCCATGGTCATAGAATGATCTCAGCTGCAGTAAAGGAGATGCACCATCTCTGTCAGCAGCTGTATTTAGCTCTATACTAGTGTTAGCTGATCAGGACAAATTATTCCTGGACTCTTTCATATACTTTTGGGATGGACTAAACCACACTTCTGGGTTGATTAAGTAAGCAATATCTCAGTAATCTCTGAACACTGCCAAAAGGTTTGCATTTTAAAGTTGGCTTCTGTAGGATCAAAATACTACTGACTTTTCTAGGAACCATAGGTTCTTTGGAGAAAAGGCTAATAATTGTCATTGGCTTGGTACTATATTACCTGCATTTAGAATTGTTCCAAAGAGCTTTACAGAAGGTTATGTTGAAATTGAAGGTCAAGATCTTATTCTGCTGTTTTATATATAAATAGAGAATAAGAGAATCCCTGCCTGAGACTCCTTTAAATTTGAAGCAGTGGCAGGTCAATATGATGCTGCTCAAACACTGCAGACTGAATCTTTCAAACTACATCTTGGAAAATGACAAAAAGGACTGATCCAAGTAATATCTGTAAGCAACAGCTTTTCTACTTCCCAGTGCTTCTGCTCTACCTCAGAAATGGCTGCTTTGGAAAGCTATAGATATGGTATTTATTTATAGATTGTGGAGTTGGAAGGGACCACGAATGATCATTGTGTCCGAACCCCTGCCCCAGGCAGGAAAGAGGATTGAGGTCAGATGACCCCCAGCCAGGTGCCTATTAAGCCTCCTCTTGAAGACCTCCAAGTTAGGTGATAGCACCACCTCTCTTGGCAGCCCATTCCAGATTCTGGCCACCCTTACTGTGAAAAATTTCTTCCTAATGTCTAACCTGAATCTACTTGTACCCATTATTCCTAGTTACTCCTAGGGGTGCCCTGGTAAATAACACATCTCCAATTCTTTGTTGTCCTCCCTTGATGAATTTATAGGCAGCTACAAGGTCTCTCCTCAGAAGTCTCTTGTGAAGGCTGAAGAGATCCAGATCACTCAACCTCCCTTCTTAGGGTCTTGCACAGAGGCCACTAATCGTATGAATGGCCCTCCTCTGAACCCTCTCCAGATTCTCCACATCCCTCTTGAAGTGCGGCATCCAAAACTGGACACAGTACTTCAAGTGCGGCCTGACCAATGCCACATAGAGGGGGAGCATCACCTCCCTCGATCTATTGGTCATGCATCTGCTAATGCATGATAAGGTGTGATTGGCTTTGTTAATGGCTTAATTACACTGCCGGCTCATGTTCATCTTGGAGTCAACTATGACTCCAAGATCCCTCTCAGCCGCTGAGCTGCTGAGGAGGTCATCCTCCAACCCATAGGTGTGCTGGAGATTCCTCCTTCCTAGGTGGAGTACCTTGCATTTGTCTTTGTTGAATTGCATCCTGTTTCATTCTGCCCATTGATCCAACCTGTCCTGATCGGCCTGTATCCGCTCCCTGCCCTCCAGTGTTTTAACTTTGCCCCATAACTTGGTGTCATCTGCAAATTTGGACAGGGTGCTCTCCACACCCCTGTCCATATCGCTGATGAAAATATTATATAACACTGGTCCAAGGACCAAACCCTGCAGGACACCACTGCCCACCTCCTTCCAAGGCAAAAATGACCCATCCACCACCATTCTCTGGGTGCGGTCCCTAAGCCAGTTGGCCACGCACCTGACTGTAAGCGTCCACTCCACAGCCTGCTAGCTTCCTTATGAGAACAGGATGCAAAACTGTATCAAAGGCCTTCTTAAAGTCCAGGTAGATGGTATCTGCCTCAGCTCCTGTGTCAAGGCAGTGTGTGACGTGGTCATAAAAGGCTATAAGGTTTGTCAGGCAGGATCTACCTGTTACAAACCCGTGCTGATTTCCTTTCAGCATCATTTCCCCTGCTGGGCCTTCACAAATGTGCTCTTTAATGATTTTTTCCAGTGTTTTCCCAAGGATAGAGGTAAGACTGACTGGCCTAAAGTTACCCAGCAAATCCCTTTCTCCCCTTCTTAAAAATGGGCACCACGTTGGCCCTTTTCCAGTCCTCGGGGACCTGTCCGGAGCACCATGAGTGCACAAACAGCCATGCCAGCGGCTCAGCTATGACACTGGCCACTTCCTTCAGCACCTGTGGATGGAGGTCACTGACTTGTACCCATCCAGCCTGTCCAAGTGCTCCTTAACTAAGTCAGCACTAACCATTGCCAGTCTGTGCTGACTTAGTGCATAACATGAACACCAAAATAGAATATATGCCTTCTTTTTTGCAAAATAGAATTAAATAAAAAAGATTTTCCAAGAATTGTCTGCATAGAGCCGGGACAGATCCTAATCTTCAGGTGACTTCCCTTCCCTTCTTTGCTTAACCAAAGCTGAAATTCTAGCTGCTATTGAAGACTGGTCTCCATAGGTAGATCTATGATTTTGAAAAGAGCTAAAGAGTCTCCAAGGTTGTGAAATAGGAGGAGAGACCAGGAGCAGCCCTCAGACAGAAAAATTGCCCTAAGAAAGGTTAGCTTGATTAATAGTGTGTCAATCAAGATCCTTTAAGAATAAGTCACTATTGTTAACACCTTTGGAGTGAAGAACGATGAGCCATTATTTGCCTGTGAAGCAAAGTAGAATCATAGAAAATTAGGGTTGGAAAGGACCTTGGGAGGTCCAACCCCCTGCTCAAAGCAGGACCATGCCCAACTATATCATCCCAGCCCAGGCTTTGTCTAGCTAGGTCTTAAAAACCTCCAAGGATGGAGATTCCACAACCTTTCTAGGTAACCTGTTCCAGTGTTTTACTACTGGAGTGAGTTCTTAATAACTAACCTAAACTTCCCTTCCTGCAACTTTAACTACTATTCCAATCAGAAAAATAGCTTCCTGCTTCATAAATACACCCCAGTTTTGGGGGATGATTTTTTGGGGGAAAGGTTTATACATGAAAAAATGTGGTAATATCTTAATGAATAGCTTCCAATTAGAACAAGCTTACTGGCCCTGGGTCCAGATTCATAAGGGGATTTAGGAAGAAATTAAGGGTCTGAATCTAAAAGTGTAATTTTCCAAGGCTAGGGTCAGAAGTTGCACATTAAACCGGTTTAAGTGATGAGAAACTGGTTTAAACCTGTAACAGAACATAAGTTCAGTGCTGGGCTGGGCTGTCCACTGGAACAGAGCAGGGTTGGCCCCACCCCTCTTCTTCCTGGCCAGAGCACTATCAGGGACTGCAGCAGCTGCCAGGCTTCCCACCCCCCCACCCCAGCTGCTCACCCAGTGCAGGGACCCTGCATCTGGCCATGCCCCCCACCCTGCTAACTAATGCTGAGAGGTGTCTGTGTGGGTCTTCAATTTCACTGGAATAAAGGCAGACAGCTAGTGGCTTGCAAATGCACGCTACAGATAAGAGCTTGAAACAAATTAAAGAGATGTTTTCTTTTGTAGGGCTTGATGGACTGATAAACTTTGTTCTGACAAGCAACCTGCTGGCTGCAATCTGTCAGTCTTCAGAGAAAGGTGTTAGAAATGACCTGCTTTGCCGACAGTATGAAGGAGGGAGAGGGAGCTTGAAAAGCTCAGTATCATCAACAGATGCAGAGTCTGGCAATGTTCTCTGCCCCTTGAACAGTGAGCTGGGAAAAGCCTGGGATGGTGCAGGCAGGATGGGGGTTTAAACCCCTCCCTAATCAGAGCGTCCTGCCAGGCAGGGCCTGACCATGCTCCCCCTCAGCATTATGGAAGGGAGGGAGGGCTGCTTTAGCGGCCCCCCCCTGCTTCTAGCCTGAACCACTGTAGGCATCTGCTTGCATTTTTGGAATGAAAAGGGAATGAATTTCCACCTCCAAATTGGTTCAAGCTCCGCAAGTTAAACTAACCTGCAAAGATTGAATCAACTCAGGTTCTGGCTTTTTGAACATCTGTCCCTAGCCCAAATGCCCAATTATTCCATTTGAATGTTTGTGCAGCTCCCAGATCAGTATGCTGGTTATTGTAAATCCAGTCCTAAAATGCCTGACTTTTCCTTCTGTGTTTCCATAGGGAACTTTTAAACTTTTAGAGCCTAGTTCAGGACTGTAGGTTCCACTATGGAGGGTTGGTGCTTGGATGTTAGATGTCTTGTAACACTGAGGGCACATCTACATGTGCGCCATTAGTCATTTAGTACTTGCTTAAGCAAGTAAGCAGCATTACTGCTCAGACCCAATGCTGCACAGGTTTTTTCCCCATACTACAGCACAGTAGCAATGAGCTACTGCTCAGTAGCTCGTTGCTACTCCGCAATAGCATCAGCATCACAGTTCGTGCCCACAGACGCTACGTCACTATTGCAATGAGCTATGGTGACAGCATCTCATGTAGATGCGCCCTGAATGTCTTAACATTTAAGTCCTTTTGTTCTGCGTCCAGTGACTAAACCTGACTTTATCAGGGAGCATACGCTGATTAAAATCCGTAAGTTGACAAATTAATAACAGAATGCTTTTTTTTCTATTCTGTTTCTCAGTCTTCACCATAGGGAGAAACAAATGAGAAAGTCACCATTTTGTATAGTCTTATGTCATGTGTTTCTTTTATTCATTTAGGACTATACCTGGGAAAATCATGGCTTCTCTCTTGTGAACAGACTTTATTCTGATATTGGGCATCTCCTGGATGAGAAGTTTCGAATGGTCTACAACCTCACTTACAACACTATGGCTACACATGAAGATGTTGACACAACAATGTTAAGAAGAGCTTTATTTAACTATGTCCACTGTATGTATGGAATCAGGTACGTAACAAACTTGTCTTAACTAGTGAGTACATTTTAAAGCTTTTGAGTACAGTATGTACATTGGACAGGAAGTTACTAGATTTTGATCACATGTAGAGCAGCGCTTTAGAGTTGGTGTTTATGCTCAGAAAATAAATGTGGTGCCTAAGTTTTGAAATACCAGTGGACTTTGATACAAATTGTGGCGTATTTGTAGGGTTCTTAGTGTAACTTAATTGTTTTCTACATTTAGACAAAATGTAGTTGTTCTGTGGCTCAAATAAGCTTAGAATTCACACAGAAATCTGTCTTCCCTCCCCTTGTAATCTCCCCCTCTCTCCCAAAACTTCAGACAAAAGTTTTCCCTTTTTCAGAGACAGGGAAAAGTTAATGCCATGTTCTTAAAGCTTTTAGAAGGCCAGTTGCCTTTGTTTTAGTCTGAGTCCAGATTGCTTATAATTTCTGAATGTAAAAGCTGGTAAAAAGAAATTTGACATTTTCAAAGGTGTATTCAGAAGAGAGACTTGGTCTGCCTTCCTTTGTTTAGGTATGATGACTATGATTATGGCGAAGTTAATCAGTTACTTGAACGCAGCCTGAAGGTTTACATTAAGACAGTGACCTGCTACCCAGAGAGAACTACCAAGCGCATGTATGATAGTTACTGGCGTCAATTCAAGCACTCAGAGAAGGTGAGTGTTTCATAGCCAAACGTTTCACCAGAAACCCCTGTCATGTAAAACAGGGGAAGATGATGAGGAGGCTCGCAAAGAGATGAGTTTCTGAGAAAGTTAAACTTTTTAACAGTAAAGTTAATATCCAATTAACTAACTTATGTGGCCATGCTATACAGTACTTAAAGAAAGTTTAGAGAATTAAATGCCACTGTTGAGAGAACACTTTCTCAATGATCAGACCATGGACCTTAGAGACTTCTAAATGAAACTGAATCAGCAAGAATGAATATAGAAAAATTATCAGACTGGGATTGCTAACATAGTCAATTGTTCTGAAACTTTTAGACTCTTCAAGTGAGTTCATTATTTACATCATGTGTCCTTATGCTGTTTGCAGTCAGTACAGGATGTTGGCATTTGTAAAGCTATTGTCTGCCTTTTAATATAAACTGCATATAAACTCTTCTTTCATGAAATATCATGAATGTGCCCATGACCATTGTGTTTGGTTATAATAAACAAAGTCTTTTATAGGTATTAGCATAAAATAAAGCCCAGCTTCTGTCCTTTCTATAATCTGCATGCTCATCTCACCACCAATGTACATGTCTTCAGTCATGAAATTTTGATCTTTGATGTAAATAAGCTTTCCTGAGGTCCAGTAGCAAACTAGGATAAAGCCGCTATTTGGTCTTCCTTTAAGTGCTATGATCTCATCTCAAGAAAAGCCAAGCTGGTCAGTACATGGATGAGGGCCATAGTATATAAGGGGTGCCTAGGAACTGCAGGGTACCTGCAAGGTAAGTGGTTTTTGCACAGATGCCCCTGCATAATGTTGGGTTGTGCTTCACCTTTCCAAGGCACTTGCATAGCCTGGCCTTGACACTAGGGGCTTAGGTACTGATGTATACATTTTTGGTTAGGTAGATACCCTTTTTTACTTTTTTTTTACCTGGCTCAGTTTTCCTTGCAGTAGTTTCCTAATTGCGCTTTTCGTAACCGATTTGACTGCTGTTCCTATATTTTATGGTATGTTACATGTGGATTTGTTACATCAGACTACCTGGAAGCAACAGAAATGTAGTCTTCCACGTCATGGTGAAAAGGTTTTCTGTCATGATCATCATTGCTGTACAATGTTAATTTGCTGTTGCTTCTGTTAAGTCAGATGGAAGACTACTAAAAGTTGTGATTATGACCAGTTACCTGGGACCCCAGAATGTCAAACAAAATTGACATACTAGATATCTGGAGAGGACCTGGTAGCCCTTCAGTTGTGTAGGCTGCAGGAATGTAGCCGTTACTTTTTCAGGCATAAATCTGAAGCAATTGGGCAATTAAATAGTGTTGAATAAATACTGCTTGAGAAATGTAAAGCCAAGTAAATATATTTAACTTTTATTTTTTTTAAAACAGGTCCACGTAAATCTGCTATTAATGGAAGCGCGCATGCAAGCAGAACTTCTATATGCCCTTCGTGCCATAACTCGTCATCTGACCTGAAGCATTCGTAGGGAGAGGGCCGAGAAATACTTAACAATATGTAAAGACCTTTTGAAATAGATACACACCAGACGCTGTTTGTGATGTAGCATCAGGTTATTCAATTCTCTAGTGTCAAAGTTTAGCCGTGTTTTTGACGGCTGTAATGTGCAATGACGTGTTTTTATTTTCTTGATGCTTAACATTACTAATGATAGCAAAAATAACACTGAGGAGCACTAGTCCTACATTTTTTTTTCTGGTTGGATTTCTGGACACTGGTCAAAATCCTGAAAACAGGTTGTTTTACTTCAGCGCTTTGTTTTGCTCACAGAAACAAAGCACTTGCATCTTGATTTTTTTGTTTCAAGCAATCAGTTTTCAGATTAATGGAATCCAGCAATGGATCTTTTTTGAATGTTCTGAAAAATCTTAATACTGTGTCATAAATCTAGTAGAGAGAAGCATGCGCTGTGTTAAATGAATTGCCCACTGGATTCTTGGTTGTCTCCTGGAGACTGTTTATCAGGCACTGTTCTTACTACAACAGTTGAAGGTGATGTGAAATGTGATTCAAACGTTGTCCATACTCTTAATGTGAAATTAATCATGATAAATTCCACAGCATGCTACTGAAATGCAAAGTTCAGCTATCTTCTTTCCTCTTTCCAAAAAAGAGGTTTCACAATTAATTTTAGCTGTACATATTATGTTCCAATCATGCATAGCAATCTTCTTACTGAGTCACCCTCTGTCAAATTCTTTACATTATCTGTTCTCATCATAACATTGCTTGCAATTCCCTTAGTTGGCACCTGTACACTTAATACACAGACTGACCAAAAATTTGTATTTGCGCTCTCCTTTGTCCAGTCCTTTTTTTAACGTAAGGAAAGCAAAGGAAGGCTAACATAGTTGTTTTCTTTTCCTATTGGATGTATAGAAATTTATTACCCATAATTTCTTTCATAGTGTGAATGTGTTAATATTCAAGTTAAAAAAATTGTGTTTCTATGCATTAATGTGAGTGAACAAAAGAAAAGTGCAATATTTAAAAAGAAAGCAAGCTTTTCCCTGTTACATCACTACTAAAGTGTCCTTTCTTTGAACAGCCATAAAGAAATGTTTAAAACCAAATTCCTTTATGGTCTGAGGCTTAGCATTTTTGCTCCAGCTTGTACAGCTTGAAGCAATCTGATATTTAGATGCCAAAGCACCCCACAAATAAAGCCAATTTGGACAACTGGTAATTTTGGGGAAGGGAAGAAGTAAGCTGCCAAAAATGTCACATTTCTGCATTATTTTGTTGCTTGACTAGATTAATTTTAAGAGCACAAAATTTCAGTGTTTATAGCTTTACTTTGTATTATGTTTAATGACCAGTGAAGTGCCTAAAGAGATGCATAAATTTACCCAGTAGGAAACAATTGTCACTGCTAAATCTTTTTTTTTTTTTTTTTTTTTTTTGGGGGGGGGGGGGGGGGGGGGGGGGGGGGCAGAGGGAGGAAGTTTTCCTTTTCTTTCTTTCTTTTTTTTAACTCTGAGGGTGACTTTATTTTGCTTTTACATGCATAAAATTAACAGGTTATTTAAAGTTGCATTGAATTGTAAAAGACGATATAGGAAAAAAATTTCCATTGAAGACTGCAGAATAGGTTTTTAGTTTATGACTAGTCATTTTTAACATTTTTCATTTGAAAAAAAAATCATGGACCATTATGCTATTAAAGCTAGTTTCCTGTCTCCTTTCATTTTCTAATAACTTGCTATGACATCACATATTGGGTTTTTTGCTTTAGCTGTCTGTTCCAGATTGGAAAAGTAAATGATTGTACACTTTATACATTGTTTCTGCACTTTTGGACTGCAGACTATTTGCATGAAAAACCTTGTGAGGGAGAAATTAATAAAAATTTTAAAGTTTAGGGTTGGTTATTTAAGGACTATCCAACAAATTGTACATCAGAATCCCTTCTGTAGGAAACATTGCATAAACCATAAAATGTATTTACCTTGTTTAGCTAACTACAAAGACTATTCAGAAGTGTTGAGAGGCTCATATGTATACACTTAGATTTTACTTCTTTCTAATTTATAATCCTTTTTTTTTTCTTTACTGTAGTGGCTGTACCTAATGGTTTTATGCTTGGAAATATTCTCTCTTCTAAGAGATGTTCTTTCAATTAGTAGTTTGACCTTTTAGTGATGGAATCTGTATAGTAATACTAAATTAAACTCCTCCAATATAAGAAGCCAGATAGTTCTCAAAGCACAGTTGAACTTTTGGAAAGAAGGTGAAACTAGATTTAGGTAACAACCACTTAGTTTCTCTTCAAAAATGCAAGGGTTTTAGAGTAGCTTTGAGTTTTAATTGTGAAAACGTTAGTGCCTTTGCTTTAGATTTTCCCTATAGAATTTCCTTTACCTTTCCAGCTGAAATGCCTTCTCAGCAATTTATGTGATTAGACTTGGAAATATATAAACTATAAGTGAATTGATTTTTTTTCCATCAAAGTACTAGTGAATCAATAATAGTGAAGAAATAAACTTGATTTTAGAAGGCGCCATATTTAATCAGATATGGCCCATGTCACATTCCAAGTTAGGAAGTGTCATTTTACAACTAGTTTGCTGTAACTTTTTCTATATAAAATGCAAACTTGAAAGTTACAAAGCTGTTTTCCAGGTGGTGTTTTTCAGAGTATAGCATTTACTATGTAATGATTTATAGCCTAGCTTTTATACTCAAAATGTGATATTTTTAAAATTATAGATGTTTGTTAAAGTTATACGATTATACCGTATACTTTACCTACACTTTAGGCTCACATTGTGCCAAATTTAAATGTGCAAATGTTTTGTTGAGGAAACAAAAGCATGTGTGAATGTGAATCCTCAAACTTCATTGCTTATTAACTTCCATTGTCAAAAATGTACCTTAATAATTCTTGGAGGTGTAGGCTCAGATACTGTCTCTTTGCTGTCCCTTGATGGGCTTTGTTTACCAGAATTAATATTAGTCACCAAATCTCAGTCTTCACTAAGATAAAACTAAAATGTATTGTCTCCTTTTCTGCTGAAGAACAAGTACAGAATGTGCTTTATTGCTTTTTTAAATTTGTTTTTCTATAAGGAAGGCAAGTGGAAAATTACAAATTGGAAAAGGTATTTGCATTAGCTCAGTATTCTGTGAAATATAAAACTGGCAGTTGAACATCATGGGATTATAGTCATGCAACAGCAGAGCCCATTTTAATCTAAATAAGACAGGATTGATGCTAACAGCAGGCTGTTGAAACTGTTGTAGAGCCCCACAGGAACTGATTTTTGAAATTTTTCCAAAGTTCACTGAAATCAGACAAGAAGACAGATTCTGCAGTTAGAGTGTACACAGAACCAGCATAAAAATCAGAAAGAATCATGCTCACATTTTTAAAATTGCAAAAGTGTCCCCATCAGCTTTTACTCTGCAAAATGTTGTAGCAACAGGAGACTTAGAAATATATAGCAAATCTAAAAAATTATGTATTTTGGGCTACTTACAAACTATAAGCCAAAGGGGGTGGGGGAGGAAGTGAGATTTTCTTTTAAATCGTTTAAATGGAGAAGGAAAAAGGACAAGTACTTCAAAGGTATTTAGGTGCCTAAAGATGCAAGCAAAGACCTCCATGGATTTTTGTTGACTTCAGTTGCAATTAAGTACCAGTGTGCTTTGAAAAATCCCTCTAGGGCAGGGGTGTTCAACCTTTTTGAATGTGGGGCCAGATCATGAACTTTTTATCACCCAGTGGGCCAGCGAGCCATATTCAAAGACCTCACAGGAAGTGGTATCACATCACCCCCCCCCCCCGCCCCCCCCCCCCCCCCCAAATGAAAGTACAGTGTTTACTTTCATTTCCCATCGCAGCACCTCGGGCCTCAGAAAACAGCTTGGAGGGCCGCATGTTGGACAAGCTTGCTCTAGGGCTAGGGATAGAAGTTATACATAAACCAGTTTAAGTGATCAGACACTGGTTTAGACCTGTAACAGAACAGAAGTTCAGTGCACATAAGCTGCTTTCAAAATGGACAAATCCAGTTTAAGATAAACTTGGATTCATGTAGTATCAGGCTTAAATGATTTAGGGCAAACAGGTTTATGGAACTTCTGTCCCAGATCCCCTCCCGATTCAAGTTAACTTACAGCCCCCCAGCATCCCAGGAAGCTTTGCAGCCCTGGGCTGTGCTGTCTGCTCCAGCAAAGCAGGACTGGCCTCACTCCTGCTGTCACAGAGCTCAGGCGGTAAAGCCTCTTCTCCCTAGCCTCTGACTGTGCCCATCAACACAGTGGGATGGGGGTAAGGGAATGAACCCCAGAACCCTCTAGCCTGGGTCTGCACAGCACTCCATGGGGCTTATGCCCCCTCCTCCACCCCAGACTCTTTGAGTTGGGCTGGAATTGCCTTAACCTCACCCTGCCCCTGCCAGCAATCCTTGTCTTGGACAGGAGGGAGAATTCACCCACTCAGTGTGGGACTCCCAGCTGAGGTCTGCACAGCGCTGGGGGCACTGGGGGAAAGTCCCCTCCACTGGGCTTTTCATACCCCACCCCTGCAGCCTGCAGGGAGGGAGCAAGGGGGCAGGGGAATGCACCCACCTGGCCCAGTGCTGGACACTCGCAAGGCATAGGATGGGAGGGAAGCTCCCTCCCCAGGGTTTTTCACCCCCTTGTAGCCCAGAGAGCCAGCTAGGATCCCTTAGGCCTGCCCCCCTCACCAGCTGCTCTGGTTTCTGAAGGGCTTGGGGGCAAAGTTGGGGAATGTATCCCTGCTGGGAGTGGGGAACCCCTGCTGAGGCTCAAGGATCCAGCTTTCCCCAGGCTGGAGGGGCTGTTTTCCCCTGGGGGAGACAGCAAGGGTTTGGGGGCGTGCGCTGGGCAGCCAATCAAGGATGAGCCCCGCTGGGCTTCCTTTGGGTGTCCTCCGCCACGGCCGGCAGGCTGGGAAGCGTGCTATAGCACCCCCAGCTTCTGGTGTGGACCACTGCATGGGCTTGGCTGCCTCTGGTTTCAAAAGTGAACATCGGTTCACTTTATTAGTTCAATCTACACAGTTAGGAGAAACTCAGGCTGTTTAAAGATTCAGCCTTGGGCTTTTTGACTGTCTGTACTTAGCCTAGGTGCCTATCTTCATTTTTCAGCCTTTTTTTAAAGGTTCTTAATCATCTAAATTATTCTCCATGGAGATTAAAAGAATAATTTGCAGTAAAAAGTGTGACTTGCACCAGTTTATTGATGAAATAGGTTTCCTTGTGTGTTTAATGTAGATTTATAAAAGATTTTCTGAAGGCAGTTAACCTAAAATGTTGTTGTTTTTAAAGTAGTATCTTGACATCATCTTGCATGTCTATGAATGTTCATAAAAATATGCATTTAATGAATGTGCTTAGGCTGACTAGAATAGACTTTATGAGGCTAAATTCTGCAGCAGCTATGCACTAAGCCTGAAGTTGCTGGATGTATGGCCTGTGGTAGGATTGTGATTATGGCCTGTGAGAGCTGATCCAAGATCTGTTGACTTCCTGAGTCTTCAATCATAGGACATAGAGGTGACCTTCACAAGAAGGAAAAATGGATTAAACTGGAAAAAATGAAACCTACCCATGGCTGATCCAGACCAATAACTCTCTACTCATGGCATGCAAATGCTGCTCGCCACAAAAGCTGGCTAAAAATGCCAGGGATTTGTTCTATAATTTGAGCTTTAAACTAGGCAAGGGAAAGCCAGCTCTTCCATGCTGTAGCCTCTATCTGCCTGTCTTCGGGAAGGTTTTAAATATAATACATATTTCCAGGGAAAAAAATTTCCAAGTGAAAAAGAGTTTGGCAATCTGTACACATCATAAAATCCCATCATCCCTGGCCATGGGAGACAGGCCAAGAAGAGCTGAGGTGTTCCAGGTTAGGACAGAGGCATCAGCTGAACAGCATTTCCTATGGCAGTTTAACCCTTGGCACAAATATACTTGGCCATGCAGTTAACTTCTGCAAATCCACTGCCCCCATCTCCTTTCCAGTTGTTGACTAGTTCTGTTCTTCACCGAGGGCTTCAGGCCCGACGTCCCAGTGACTAGCCCTTTCAAAAGTTCTCCCCACCCAGCAACAAGTGCTCCCTAGACAAGTTCCTAATCATGCTTTTCCAGCTGTCAAACCTTAAATTATCCTTCAGGCAGAAGCATTCAGACCAAAGCTTTCTGTATAGCATTGAGTTCCCACGCTGCCACCAGGAAGTTCCTTAGAGTTCTATTGCTTAATCTTGTGCTGTTCATCCTTTTCAGGAACACTGAATTCACTTATTACATTTATTTCTGGCCAGGAAAATTAAATCCCTTTTTCAAAAGTTTATTATTGAGTTTTGGTTTTTAAATAGTCATCCTCTCTGCCACTAAGAGTGTGCTTGTGCCTTTCTGATTACCATTTCAGGCTCAAATA